GATATCCGGAAAACCAGTGGAAAAAGCCCGCTTCGCGGCCCTTTTCCACTGGACCCCATCCAGGAACAATGAATTCGGATACCTTCTTTCTTAGAGTGCGGCGCAAGAACCTGTATCAAGGAGCCATTCTTTGGCCTGCGGCGCCAGAGCCTGGGCCAAGGACCTTTTCTTTGGCCTGCGGCGCTAGAGCGAGATCCAGGCCTAAACCTCGCGCTAGAATCTTTCAGGCTGCGGCGCTAGCTACTGCTTTTTGTTCCGAATTTGGCCTGCGGCGCGAGAGCCTGGGCAAGGCCCTTTTCTTTGGCCTGCGGCGCTAGAGCGAGGGCCAGGCCTAAACCTCGCACACCGAGCAGGGTTGTTGACGGACGGGCCGGGCCAGCCCGGGACGGGCCGGACGGGCTGACTACCCAATTTGCATAAAATTAGCGGACGGGCTGGGACGGGCTGGAGAGCGGGCTGGACGGGCCGGGCTGAGTGGGCTGGAGCGGGCTGGGGTTATGCAAATCTGCTATGTTAATTACATCCAAGGATCAGACAAGAGCCCAGCGCGGGGAAATAAAACCTATTTTTATGGTATTGTACACTTTCTAAATCTAAAACTGTGGTAAAAAATGATCAAATTTTTGATTTATTTGATCAAAAACTATGAAAAATCACCAAATGTCTAAAGTAACCAATTTTCAAGACTTTGTAAGATTGTTTTTGTAAGTTTGAGCAATCAAAAACAACTAACATTAGTGTAACAATACACCTTTATTTTTACAGATCAATGAAATAAAAATAAAACTAAAACTTGGCTCTCTCTCCCCACACAGCACCCAAATTAGAGTCCTGCAACCTGGAAACAATAAAAATCCCATAAATCTTTATTAAACAAGGGCACAAAACGCCATGTGATCACATTGCCTTCTCTGTGTCATTTTACCCTTGGATGATTAACATTGCTGATTTGCATAACCCCAGCCCGCTCCAGCCCGCTCCAGCCCGCTCAGCCCGGCCCGTCCAGCCCGCTCCCCAGCCCGTCCCAGCCCGTCCGCTAATTTTATGCAAATTGGGTAGTCAGCCCGTCCGGCCCGTCCGGCCCCGGACGCCCGCGGGCCGGGCTCGAAATGACCAACCTTGACACCGAGAGCCTAGAAATAGGTTTTCTTGCTGAACTACCAAAAAACAAAAGAATAAATTCTCCCAGGTTCCGAACTCACGATCATGGGCATGGTAGACCGGGCGCAAATCCACTACACCATGGGACAGATGGGAACAGGCGGCGGGCAAGCCCTCTTCTGTTCTGGGGAAAGGCAAAGAAAAGGGCGACCCATTGATCCCGGAGGGAGGCCTACTGGTCACTTTACAAAATTCGGTTTTCGAGTATGAATCAGCTGAAAATTTACAAAGATAATCGGATGCGCGTGATCCCCACCATCGAGTACATAAGTGGGGGAAATTCCCAGCCCGAAATTCCATCTGAGCTTCGAGTTATGGCCCGAACACCACGGCTCTTGGCCCACTTTATAAAGGCCATTTGATAAAAATGTTCATAAAAACTTCATTTTACAAAATCTGACAAAACGCAGAATTATATATCGGGAGAATTCAATTTTCAATCTACCCTCCAAAAATTAGCCCCCAATTCCATTTGGATCGCGAGATATCCTCTGTACAAACCTTTTTTTTGGCCACAATGTTAAGGGTTTTACACTATTTTTCTTGTGAAATCCTATCCTATAAGCGAGAAAAGTATGTCTGTTTTCTGTGCGGACGATTTCTCGGCCGCCATGCCGAATTTCCAGGTGATTTTTGGTATGGAGGTGGAGAAGCACATCTTCTTTATAAGCATTTTTTTGTTTTTCGAAATTCCTTCATCTAACGATCTTACAAGCAAAATAGTGAACAACCCTTAACATTTTGGTCGAAAAAGGTTTGTACAGAGGATATCTCGCGATCCAAATGGAATTCAGCTTTAATTTTTGGAGGGCGGATTGGAAATCGAATTCTCCCGATATATAATTTTGCGTTTTGCCAGATTTTGTAAAATAAAGTTTTTATGAGCATTTTTCTAAAAATTCCTTAACCAAATGGCAGAAGTGACGTGGTGTCCGGGCCATAACTCGAGACCCAGATGGAATTTCGGGCTGAAATTTGGACAACTTATGTATTCGATATTGGGCATCACGCGCATCTTATTATCTTTGCAAATTTCCCGCATATTCAAACTCAAAAATCGAATTTTGTAATGGGACGAGTAGGCCTCACTCCGGGATCATTGGGTCGCCCTTTCTTTGCTTTCCCCCGCCCGCATTCCCCGGAACAGAAGAGGGCTTTCACGCCGCCTCTTCCCATCTGGCCCATGGTGTAGTGGATTTGCGTCCGGTCTACCACGCGCATGGTCGTGAGTTCGGTTCCTGGGAGAACTGAAGTTTTTGCTTTTTGGTAGTTCAGCAAACTGACATTTCTAGGCTCTCGGTATACGAGGTTTAGGCCTGGCCCTCGCTCTAGCGCCGCAGGCCAAAGAACAGGTCTTTGGTCCAGGCTCTCGCGCCGCAGGCCAATGATGGGTCCTTGATCTAGGCTCTTGCGCCGCAGGCCAAATCTTTGGAGAAAAACCAGTAACTAGCGCCGCAGCAAAAAGGTTCTAGCGCGAGGTTTAGGCCTGGCTCTCGCTCTAGCGCCGCAGGCCAAAGAAAAGGTCCTTGGAGAGGCTCTGGCGCCGCAGGCCACAGAATGGCTCCTTGACTCGAGTTCTTGCGCCTCAGGCAAAAAAAAGAAGGTATTGGAATTCATCGGTCCTGGACGGGGTCCAGTGGAAAAGGGCCGCGAAGCGGGCTTTTTCCACTGGTCGTTAAATGAAGGTATTTCGAAAAACAAAAAAATGCCTATAAAGAGGATGTGTTTCTCCACCTCCATGCCAAAAATCAGCGCGAAATTCGGCCTGACGGCCGAGAAATCGCCATTAAAGAAAACAAACATACTTTTCTCGCTTATAGGATAGGATGGATATGCGGGAGCGGTATGTGGGAGAACAGGGAGCCGAGTAGACCAAGGGGATACCAGAGGATTTCGAGGAGTGGATCCGGGATGTAGCCTGAAATATATAGTGCTTGAAAATTCTATATAACTGAATTGAAAAACTAGAAAAGTCACAGTTCTTCCTTACCCAAAAAGTTCAAAAATGATGGCGGCCAGGGTAATGGGAAAATGGCGATTTCGCACACGAAGCCAAGAACATGATATTTACAGGAGATCCCGAAGAGTTCGGATTTCTAAATATTATTTTTGTTGATTTGAAGTAATTTTTCAAGTTTAGAAAAACGTAGCCTACCTTATGCGGTAGCAACGTCCCATTAACCAATTTCAAGAATTTTAGCACTGGCTCTGTTAAAGCGGTTTTCTGAAAAAAGTGTCTCTACCCGAGTAAACTTTCTAAAGCATACCGGGATGAAGAATTTAGGCATATCGCCTGCAAACAATCTTTCAAACTCGATAGGGTCGTGGCTTTCGATCAGCGGCCAGTCGAGAGCATCCAAATATTTTTGGTTGGACTTCTAAACATTCATTTCGACGTTGGTTTGCGTTAAATGTATTGCTTTCTTGAATTAAAATACACTATCGGGAGCGTTAAAAACAGCGCCGATTACCGTATCATTCTGCCCAATCCAGGGGAACCGCCACCCCGCCAGGGTATGCTCAAGAAAATCGGCGAACTGGGCCTCGGAGATATTTGTCGTTTTCTTAATTTTTTAAAGTTGCTTTTTTCCAGTAATTTTCTTACAGCAAGTTCTGGATTCTTCTTCAACCACTCCTCAACTTTCGCAAGGTAATCGTGTCCAGTTGCGAGGGAAAGACATGCAAAACAAGCCTAAATCGTCAAATTTGGGTAATGAACGCTCAGCTTACCAAAAACAGAATTCTCAGCATACTGCGAGTTCCAAAAAATAGTAGATTTTTCAGTACTTTTTATATGCTGCTTTTTATCAACACAAAACCAATTATTTGGAGCAAACATATGCCTGGGGCTGCTGATTTTTCTGTTTATCGTGGTTACCACCTATTTGCGTTTCTGTTGGGTACGATTTCGTCGAGAAGCCAGCAAGGCGCTTTTTTTGCTTAAAAATGCACGCTTTGTTCGAAATCCGTCGAGTAGAAAGCCGTTATACTTTTTTTCTAGGTCTCTCCAACTTTACAATTTTTCTCGACGCTTTAGGATGTATTTCCTGGTTTTTATAATTTTGTTGCTGAATAAGAGGATTGACTTGATGGTGTGTAGTCTTGGGGTGTATACGAAAAACTTGAAAATATTTTATTGGAGGCATCAGAGCATGCCATATCTCCATTGGGACTTGCTGAGGAGGTTCAGGAGTCTTGGGCTGGGGGCGTAGGCGGGGTCGACTTGTTGGTGGAATGGCAGCAGGATTACCTAAAAAATTGCAAATTCAGCTTGTGTTTTGGTTATTTTTTAGTTTTATTTTATTTTTTAGTTTTCAGTTTCTAAAATTACTTTTTCCTTTGACATTCATAACGTAATCGATTACTTACTTTAGCAAAACTCCTCTTCGACAACCGATATAGCCGTTCTTGATCGTAGGCCTGAACCAGGGACAGGTAGAAGATGAGCAGCGAGAGTAGTATCAATATTCTGCGCATATCTGAAAAAACCTTATTATTAAAAATATGATAGAACAAAGCATTAAAAAAAGCCGAAAATTGTTAGGGAGAAACGATTCAGAACACAGTCGAGAAATCGAGGTGCTTGAGCAAAATCTGGTGCACAGCACAAACTAAACGTGCTAAATAACATCCGATATAATCACCGGAAACTCTAGCAAAGAAGGCACATAGTAGCATTTCGAAAAAATGGTGAAAAAGGGCAAGGAAAATTTTGCAGCGCTAGTACGGTAAAGGGGATATTGGAGGAACCTTGGGCAATAAAAATTTGCAATGTAAGGTAAGGTAAGAAATTGGTAACGTAGTAGTAAGAATCCAAATAAAGAATTGGGTCTTGATGTGTCTGAAAGCTTTTCAGACCAAATTAACATCTCAACAAGGCCGTAAAATTGAATCAGGTTCCAATTTGGGCCCCGGCCCTGGATTTGGCTCAAAATTAATGAGCCGATTTGTACGTAGTGGTACTGATTTGATTTCGGAGTTGAAAGTACTGAAAAATTCCGGCCCACAACGTTTCAGAAGGGTAAGCAAGCTCCTAGATTTGTTCCAAAATTTAAATTGTATCGGAAATTAGCTTTGATCATCATTAAAACGTTTGAAACCAGGCTTGGAACAAAGAACAGAAAAGATGTTTGTACGCCTACACTCTTTGTGCAAAAAAATGAAAAACGGGCCTCTCGGCTTTACTTTCAATTTTCACACGGGGCCCTACTGGAGAGATTCTAGAAGCTCTAGAATCCGAAAACTGAGCCCAAGAAGTTTGCATACGTCATTTTTTTTTTTTGGAAATAAGGGTACAAAACAAATCCTTAATTTAACGATACCCATGGTTTAGAAATGCAAATTTAGCTCCAAGCTTTTTGAAGGAACTCCTGAACAAGCGTCCAGCCCTTTGCCGAAATTTAGGAGGGAGAATTCCGACCATGAGCATCTTTTCCGGACATCACCACCGACAGGATTAACTCGTACAGGATGCCGGAATTTGCATGGCGAAGGCGGAACGGATAAGTTGAACCGGAAGCCGTGGGTTGGCTTTCAACGGGACGGCAAGCCGGAAAAAAGTCATATCCGGTGTTGCGGAGTCATCCATTCCCACGCTGGAGCAGACGGACAAATTTTGCATAACATCATTAAGGAAATGAGGATCTCAAAAAATGGGAAATTCCAAAAATAAAACAATTTTTAAAAAGTTATGGAATTTAACTCGAGTTTTAGGAGCTTTTAAGTACAAAAATCACATCTATTAAATCCTTATCCTTTATAGCAGCATAAATGTATAACGAATTTAGGTCTAAATTAAGATAAACCTAAAACTAAAATTTAAAAAAATCAGCAAGGTCTTAATTGAAACTGATCTAAAAATGTATTGGTAAGTTTCACACTTACTTTACCTAAATGCCAAGATCCGCAAATGGTCTCTGCTAGTCTGCCTTAGCTCTTTGAGCTTTTTAACCCTCTAACGAGAAGCCGCCAGGCAAGCTAGCAAACATTCTTCATGTACCTTGCCCTGTAACAACCTCGCACTTTCCGTTTCCTGTAGAAGTTGCTCGCGGCCGGATAAGCGAAATTCTGGCTCCACTGACTGCCTGAGCGTGACCCAGTTTTTGCAAAACTCGCGCGGAGTATTTAGGGGTCAGGTCGAACTGCAGGGGGAAAACACTTATCGTTTATGGGTGTGGAGGGTGGGGTGAAAAACAGTAGCTACCAGCCCCGGGGGGGGAGGAACCGAAGATCATTTCGTGATCAGCCAACGGGCGCTAGCACGAAATCTCTGTTTTTTGTGAGGTGCCGTTTGCCGCAGTTGGTGCTCAACCTGGCAGGAAGACGGTGGGTCCATTTGACGATTGGGACCAAGGAATTACTGTCATTTTTCCTAAAAATCATTTTTCCTAAATTCATTTTGCCTAAATTCATTTTTTCCTAAAAATCATTTGTGGGTCTTCCTAAAAATATTTTTCCTAAAAGTTGTCGACGTTCTAACTCTCCCCAGTACCTCCAAACTTTCAGGTCAAACCCTAGGCTTTCCCGCGGTGCTCATGCTCGCTTGGCTGTAGGCTGGTAGTGTTGTATGGAAAAGGAAGGGAAGGGCGGATGACCTTCACCCCTATCCAGGCCCGTGTATACCCTAATCGACCCCATCCTCATCCTCCCCACAGCTTCGGGTCATCCCCAACCCGCCAGCCAGCCTATCCACCCCGCCTAGTCCCTTCTCTACCCGCACTGATCCCGAGGTCGAACATCTCCCTCCCAGTGCACTTTTAGTCTACCCATACTTTGTACCTTTCGATCAGATAAAAAATGGCTGGAGGTTTTGACGTGAGAAGGTTCTTTTGCACTTAGTTTTTAATGAGTTACCGTGGTTCTTGTTGGGACGCGTATTACTGAGCCTATAAAAGAAAATCAGATTGTAGCGAACTGATTTTGGAGCTAAAATTACTTTTCGATATTTCACAAAAATATCGAAGAAACTCTCAAAAAATTTTAATCAGTGATAGAGATGATTTTTGAAGCCCTCGCCCTCTAGGCCCCCCTTTTTTCTGGAAAGACTCCAAATTAAAAGTTCGAATTCATAAGAATGTAATAAAGGAGTTATATTTTAAGTTTTTAAAATACCCAAAGCGTCTGAGCTAGCTTGCCAGCTTTCTGGTACCTCGACAGCGGTACCAAAACCGGACGAGTTTTCTTGTTTGCGCTGCCATCCCCGATCTCCTACTTTCGCTACAGGATTGCATATGCAAATCGGCAAAGCAGAGAATCTTATTTATGGCGCTGTTTTGCTTGATTTCTTGCTAAAATTACCTTACGTTATGCCATGCATGAATTTTAAAACCCGGCTCTCTGCTTCCGAATTTTAAGGTTATAAAGTTACTAAATTTCTGGTCGATTAGAACAAAGCGATTGAATCTTTTATTATATAAAAAGATAAAACAGTTTCTGCAACATCTTTTATTTCTGGAAATTGAATTACTGAAACCTCTGCGCTTTCATATTGCCAAGATACCCAAGCCGAGAGTTTTTTTTACCACTAATGATTACACTCTAGATTGTTTAGCCCGGCAATGAAATTCTTAACACGCCTGATTCTGGTCCATAAAATCGATACTTGCGAGTATGTTCCACTCATGAGTTGCCAAAAACTAGCTCAAAAGCATTCTGTATCTTGTAGTGTTTCGCACCCGAAAGATGGCCAAAGCGAGAGCGTTTTGCCCTTTTGTTGTTCCAAAGTGCCCAGCAAAGGCCAGATGTAGCAAGACTCGATGAAAGAAAAATTGAGCCGTCCGGTTTTCGCCTTCCTATTTTTGCGTTTTCGCTCTCCAAAAAAGGTGCCCAGCCTTCCAACTTTCATTTGTTCTCGAGTTCCGGGAAGAGGCAGATAAAATCTGTTCGAGATCCGAGAAAAGATACCGGTTCTGAGTTTTCTCTTTTTCGATTCGTGTTTCATTTTCCTTATTTGGAACGCTTGATTTAAATTGTAAAAATATTCTCTGATTTCTAAATTATCGATATAATGTGAAAAAAATTTATTTTTATATTCTGGCAAAATTTCAAAAAATATTTGACCTTGAAGGGCCTACGTAAACCACCCCATTAGGCGCGTCAGGGTTTTGAGTGCCCATCGATTTTGGTGGGGCATATTTTTGAGAGTTCCGAACTGAAACTATTGACGTTTTTGCCTGTAAAACCGAATTAATCTATTCTATTAAATGGTTCTTCCTTTAGATGCTTCACATTCCGAACACCAGCCGGTTTCCGGGCGAATATTTTCATGCGGCTAGCTTGATTGCGTTGGTAAGAATTTTTAGTAACTATAAAAATATCTGTGTATTTTTAAGAGCTATTTTAAGTAAGACCAGGGTTGAAAAGCCGCTTCGCGACTTTTCAACCCTGGCCCCCGTCTAACCCCCATGCTTCATCACTTTGCATAAAATCCTGGATTCCTGTGCAAAAAAAATAAAAAGCGCGTCCTCTCCGCCATTATATAGGCTTCCCCCACTTCCGGTGCATGCTAATTGGTTCCTAACAAAGCGGCTTTGCGAGATTTTCACAAAAACTTAATTTTAATATCGAAAACGGCTGTTTTTTAAAAATCTCAGATGCGTGCAGTCGTGTCATGACCATTACGCACCTAATGACGTATCATACGTACCCTTAACTTCCTCCCCTATTGAGATACGACTGGAACATACGGACGGAAGTTGCATGCAAATGCACACACACACACACACAGACACTATTTTTTTATATATAGTAGG